GCTAATATTAATTATAGTGGCTAGATAAGGTGCTAATATATCTATTATAGATAAAATTTGCCCAACATGCCTTGTATATTTTGATGCACCAGGTGTAAACAATTTTTATTACTTATTAGTGGGCTGTATTCAAAATTAATTAAACTCTTATTATTGCTAGAGATTGCCTCTATTGTCACATTCACTAATTTAAATTAGTTGAAACTGATTCAAAATTAAATGTCAAATGATTATGCTCAATAAAAGCAGTCTTGGTAGCCAAAAACTTGGCTGAGTTAGAAAGTAAATAATAAGATAGCACATTTGCTATCAGTCTTAAATTATATTTGGATTAGGTAATACCTATCTTTTGTCCAAAACTTTTTTATTAAATTATTTATGTCAATTACATGAAATTTATGATTATTTTCATTAAAATATTATATGTCAAATTTAAATTATTATTACATATTAAATTATGCATTTGAATATTTAAATTATGTCTTAAATTATTTTCTTGTGGCAATCCCTGTATATAAGGCAGTGTGAACAAGACAATTTTGTGTACATTTAAGTTATTAAGTTGTTCAATATATCTTAATAACTGTTGTTGACACTGCCTCTTCTACCAACAAAAATAATTATTGTACTATTTGGGCAAAATTTAGTAACAATAATTTTATTTAGGATGTCACTAAAAGATGCTCCAGGCATGCAGCAATTTGTAACTTTTTGTCCCTTTAAAGAGTTATTTAAAGTTATGCCTAGATTTTTTCCCATGTCATCGCTATAAACAATTATATTATTTTAAGTAATATTTGAGTTATTTATTATTTTAATATCCTCTGCTATGGCACTGTCATAGAGTTTTGGTGGTGGTATAATATTATCAGCACACACTGACTTTGAAGAATCTGGCATTGAGCGCTGACACTCACATTGATATTTAACTAAGGAGTCAAACCGCTCCTCATTATATTTACAAGTCTTTACCAGATTATTCATAGCCAATATGTGTTCTTTTATTTCATTTTGGGCTGATTTATATTTATTGGACACAGTTTGAAGGGAGTTCATAAGTGATAATATTTCTGATTTAAGGCACTCTACTTCAGTCTCATAACATTTTTTTATGTTATCCACCTCAATTGAATACAACTTAAGTTCACATAACAATGCTTGCTTTTCTTTACATACATTAACATAATTTTTGGTATTAATCTTATTTCTTATTAATTTTTGTACTTTCCTTATGTATTTATTAACTTTTATATACTTCTTCAATTTGGTTTTACTGCAATTAATCCTTACTGTGTTTCCCGAAGTGGAAGAGTCGTCACCAGTCAAGTCTATTGTTGCAAATTGCTGTAACATTCTTGAAGTATCACATTGCACAAGCTCAGAGAACAGGCTTTGAGTCTGGGAGGCTTTAAGGTTATCTATATATGTTTTAAATTGTGTTATTTGCTCATTAGCCTCATTCAACTGTAACTTCAATGCAGCATTTAACCCGAGAGCTTCCTCATATAACTTGATATTATATTAACCTTACTTACATTAAACAATAATGTTCTTATTATCAGCAAATAACTAATACATTGCATAACACCTCGGTGTATTCTACAACCTTTAGAGTATTTATAAGCAAGCTATGCTTACTCTAAGGTACTACCAACTGATGTCAAAGGATTCAATTTGTTTTCTCACTACACCTAACCCTACAGTAGGAGCGGCCTTAACAAAGACTAAGTGATACAGACTCTCGCATCCGGACGTAAGGTGCATTTTGATTTAATTCGCACTCCACATTAATTTTTTCGATGATTTAATCTGTAAGCTATTTTAACGAAGGTTACTTCCAAGACGTGCAAGTAGCGACGTTGTAACTACGTTTAAACAGAACATCAGAGAGTGATTCTTCTGTTCTTGTTCTATTATTCATTATGTGCCAATACGAAGTTATATCTTAGTGATATAGGCTATAAATTTCAAAAAAAGGCGTCGTACATTGTGCACAGGGAAAGCTATAAACCTCTGACAAAAGTATAAATGTAATGTTATCTAAAAAAATCTAATAAAAGCACAAAATATTCGTGGATGATTTACTTTGGCAGAAAAGGTTTTTATGTAGCTTTTTTTTGCCTAGGGCTAGGTTTCTCAGGTTATAGCCCTCCTATATTCCAATTACCTATTTATGAATATTTGGGGGTTTTTCTAACAATTAAGTGAAGAGTGGAACAAAAAGCCCACGTGGTATTAAACGTTTAGCGATTTACCAGCTGCGTAAAACAAAAGCACCATTTTAACCACGGATATATTATATACTTGATTGGCGATGGAGTGATTAGGGCGAGATGAAATTTAAAATACATCAGTGTCGGTGAAATGTACATGTGTGGGTGACAAATAGTGCTACAATATGGACTTCCTGCCTCAACTTTAATTATCGATACCGATTGCAATCGTGTCTTCTGATTTGACGCAGATGATGTAAGGGAATATTTTAGCCCACTACGCCGAAGGAATAAAGATGGTTACGATTTCTGAAGGACATGTATGTATATTAATATATATTATCTTTGTAATTTATCATTAGTATAAAAGTGAGTTTATATGTATCCGTAGTCACACGTTATTACCAAAACGTCCGAAATTAATTTTACTACATATTTACAAGGGATCAATTATAAGGGGGAGAAGATTAGTAGATATCTACCTACATTATTAATCTTACTTCGCCTCAGATGAATAAAATAAAAATTAAGTCCTCATTTTTATTTTATTAACCCATGTACTATCCACACAAATGTTATGAGCGTGTGCTTTTGTGGGTCTGCGGCCCCCCATAGGAACCGTGCTATGACGTCGAAATATATCATTCACTGATAAATGGACAGTTTCTGTAGACGGACGAGGTCGCGGGCAAAAACTAGTTGCTTATAAAATCAGTATCAAAACAATTTTTGATGACAAAGTCTTAATGATGTTTTTAAATTATTGCTTTACTTTGTTTTTAATATAATTTACCATTACAAAATACACACTACTTACACTTTTGTGATAATTCAATTAATAAAGCACAGTTAACAAAATTAAATAAGAACATAATCATATTATTTTTAAGCGCTTAAATAATTCCCCGAGACAGGAACTGAATTTCAGAAAGATTGATAGCTGCGGTAAATCCCCCACCTCGCGAGCGAAATGAGTGGAAAATTCCACATTTTTGATATGTCAAGTTGTAAAGCATTTCGTTATATACATTTTTGCATGCATTATTAAGCTTTGAACCACTTACTTAAATATTAAAGAAGGCTATTTACATCAAAATGCTATTCTTCTCATTTCGTTTTAATTAACAAAAAACAAATTTAATAAAAACGCCGTACCATTGCAAAACACTTTTCTAGTAGGGGAAACCCCCTTTAATTTTTAATTATTTTTGTTTTTATTTATAGCGACGACAGAAATACACATTATGTGAAAATTTCAACTGTGTACCTATTACAGATCATGAGATACAGCCCGCTGACAGACAGACGGGCAGACGGACGGAGAGCGGAGGCTTAGTAATAGGGTCCCGTTGGTTACCCTTTGGGTACGGAACCCTAAAAATGATATTTTTTTTAATTTATGTAACAATAATAAGTATATAGTATAGAAGTAAAAGTAAACATGTTATTTATTATTAGCTATTCTCAACTTACAATGAAAAATATGGGTTAGAGGAAATACAGTCCAGTGTTAATGTGTGTATATCTGTATCTGTGTGATATGTGCGAGTGCGTTTAAATGTGCGTGTGCGTGTGTGGATACGTACGAATGACTGGATACGCAGTCACTAAATAATGGTGGTGGTATTCATGCAACATCAAAGCAAGTCTTCTTGGAAACAACATAAACCGCTCCATTAACTAACCGGCCTATAATACTTGTGTAACAAATATCGATCAGCATAAGCGTATAAGCACGTTGTAAATAAAAATCACATTTTCTGGATCCTGAAAAATCCAAGTTTAGTTGAATAACGCTTCTGGTTAATTCCCGTAGTTGAAAACATACATTTTACGCTAACATTGGACTACAAGCGACACACATCCCAAAATGATTTTTAAAATCACACGCTTTTTCAATGCATTTTTGTGTTTGAAAAAGTCTTCTTTGACGTTCAAAGTAAAAAGCTTTTAATTAAGCGTTGCAAGTTTTATGCCCGAATACTGAAACGTCCCTCAAATATTTAACGGCTTGTCAAACATTTGAGCAGCTCCTAAACCCTATATTCGTATTCTCATATTTAAATTTTAAGTATCTCTTAAATTTAAGTGTGTCTCAAATTGAGTTGCGCTTAAACACTACTCAACTAAAAAATGGTATACTGAAACATCACTCAATGCGTTTTAGCTGTCAAATCAAATGTCAAATTGATTTAAGTACTCGTTATTATTGAGTGTGGTAGCGAGGACTCTCAAATCTGTTAAAAGTATTTTTCCAGTTTTAAATATGTCCGTTTCGTCGTTATCTTCTCTTTCGGACAACGAAACGCCTTTAAGAAGTCGAAGAAATGATATCAAGCTTAACGCTTTCGAAAAATATGACGATAAAGAATTTCGTGCGCGGTTCCGCGTTTCCAAAGAAACGGTGTTGTATTTGGATTCTGTATTCGGCAGCACGATAAAACCATTGACGAAAAGAAATAGATCTTTGCAGCCCGTGGATCAAATATTGATAACCCTTCGGTATTACGCTACAGGCAGTTATCAACGAGTTATAGGAGACATATTCCACATCGAGCAACCGTCTGTGCATCGAATCGTGCACAGAGTTACAGTAAAAATAGCGAATATGAGATCTCTTTTTATAAATATGCCAACTGCTGAGGAACGTCTAGAAGTAGCAAATGACTTTTATGCAATTGCTGGATTTCCTAGAGTGATGGGTGCTATTGACTGTACGCACATTAAAATTAATTCTCCAGGTACATATTCTAATCATGAGCTATACTTATACTCCTACATTATCATATCTATTATTAATATGTTATATACATACACTCATTGTTATTAAATCTTTGCAGGGGGAGCTCAATCGGAAAGTTTCCGAAATAGAAAAGGTTACTTTTCCTTGAATGTGCAAATGGTATGTGATGCGAAATTGCGCATAAGAAATATCATTGCAAGATGGCCAGGTTCTGTACATGATAGTACAATTTTTAATGACTCACCATTGTGTGCCCAATTAGAAAGAGGAGATTTTACCCCTATGGTACTTCTGGGCGATAGTGGTTATCCATGTCGCCCCTATTTGTTAACCCCAATTTTAAATCCAAGGACACCAGCTGAAGAAGCATATAACCGTTCACAAATTAGAACCAGAAATCCAATAGAAAGGCTCTTTGGTGTTCTTAAAAGAAGATTTCCCTGTCTCCACTATGGGTTAGGTCTGAAGACTACCAATATTCCACCTATTATTGTGGCATGTGCAGTACTCCACAATATTGCTATTTCAAGGCAGGATGAAGTAGTTGAAGAGGATGATCCTTTAACTATTGTTGAGGAAGAAATTATGGTGCAACCCAGCAATGAAACAAATCAAAACTTTATTGTGAGGACATCGTTAGTAAATACATATTTTTCTGGTTAATTTTTTTTTAAATTTTAAAATCAATTCTTTACAACATAACGAATACTAACAACAATAATCAGTGAAAAGTTTGCTATATCACAGTGTAGATTCATGAAAATACAGTAACTTAATATAATTCTTCTGTGTGTTTATCACTGAACTCCTAAAAGGCTGGACCAATTTCGATGATTTTTTTTTGTTTGAGTCCCTGGATGGTTTAAATTCTCAATTAGATCCATTGTTGAGGTCCAGAAATCACCCATAATGTAAAATGTGACAATGTGGTTGTCGATTTTCAAATAAAACTGATAGAATAAAATAGAATAATTTTTTATTCAATATTGATTATTACATAATACTTCTGAAAGTTTTATTTACCACTGGTTTGGAAAATATCTCTGTCCTGGGAAGAAACAGCAAGAAACACAGTGGGACTTTTTTTCCAAACATATTTCACGTAACAATAATTTCATTTATACAATTTTAAATGATTTTTCATAGAACCAGCATGGTGGCGATCACCTTATTCCAGGGGTTATTTTCATTCATGTATTCCTTGATATTATAATAACCCTTTTTGTACAGTTTTTCTTTAATAAAACTTTTAAACTTGTTTATTGACAAACTTTGAATATGTTAGTATGTAGTAGTAGTTAGCATGTAGTAGTTAGTAATCCCAGAAGATTTTGTTGTAAAAACAAAATATGACATTGCCCCATAAATGAATTACTGTTTCTGTAGAGACTGGTAATTGGATATTGTTTTACTCTAATATATAATTGACAGAGTTTCTGCTTAAGGCAAAAAAGTATGTTACAACTTTTAGACCCGCATTATGTGGTTTACAATTATTCATAAACAGAAATAGTTTAAAATCACCTACATTATTTATTACATCCTGAATCTTATTTTATAATGTAATTACAAACTTAAATAGTATATATACTATAAATCAAATAATTATGCATTTATTTAATCAAGTTATGTTTAATAATAAAAGGTTTAAGTAAGTTTATAATTATGGCTGAGGGCGGGAAACATTTACTAAAAAAAGATAAATTATACAATGTCAAAGTCTTAAATCTAAATATGTTACAGTAATAAAATAAAATATTCATGGTATATAATTCTTATTGTCTAGAAGCTTGTAACCTATTTAATTTCAAAATTTGTATTTCTAATTTATATTTGTTTAGTTCCATTTTGTTTTTGTTTATTAAATATTTATTTTCTAATTTGGCATTTCTTTCTTATGCTTTAAAATACTGTTGTTTAATGGTTTCATATGATTTCCTTTTTGTTACATTATGTTGGTGTGCTGAAAAATGTTTATCTAAGGTTAATTTACAACTTTATTAACAAAAAAAACAGTGTTTAAAAAATCATATATGAATATGTATAATTTACATTATTCATTAGCAAAAATATAATTTTTATCAAGATATTACTCGACCTCACTAATGTCACATAATATATATTAATAATTTATTCCATAATGCACAATTGATGAAAAGTAAAATTAAGTCAATACCTTTTGTATCAGATGTTATTGTATGAGGTTTATTGCTATTCTGCTCAATATAGTCATTTGATAAAAGTGTTTGATGGTTATCTAAAATAAAATTTAGTATGAAAATCAAATATGAATCTAAAATATATAGTAATATAGTATTTACCAGTATTAGCACTGTCATCCTTATTTAAATCATTCACTGTTAAAATAGTTTCTATGTCCTCAGAAATCAATTCTGTGTCACCTGATAAACAATAATTAATTTTATTTCTTATTAAAGATCTAAATTATAGAGATTAAACAAACTAACCAAAATAAAATGCAGCATCATCAAATGGATTTTGCAGTAGTTACACTTGTGGAACAACCATTGTTAAAATCTGAGCATGTTACTGAGTTAGAACTGATTTATAGGACCCACCACCAGTAGAAGTTATTTCTTTATATATAAAAAAAAAACTTAATTACTTAATAGGTACTTAATCAATTATTTTCAAGATATATGGCAATATATACCTTATCTATTGATGCCCTTTTTGGGCCTCTTTTGTTTTTTCATTGTACTGTAGTCTCTAAAAACAAAATGATTATGAAATAATACGAATACAATAAATCGTGACTACTAAATATTTATACAGCGTTGTATTCCTTGCACACAATCCCAAGCTTGTCGTTTCTTCAAAATAATGTGGGCGTTCGTCTCTTTATTTTCTATAATATGTTGATATCTGAAATAATATATAACACGTGTTACAATGTGAACAACTTTTATTTAATTCGCAATGAAATAAAGGGCATTCTATTCGGTTAAAATAATTTGTTTCATTTGAAGATTTAAATATTTACTTACTTTTTTATCAATTCTAATAAAGTATCTTTCTCCGACACTGTGTAATTGCATCCGCGTCTCTTTTTAACATCCATATTTTACTATAATTTGTACTTAGCCTTTAATTGAAACTAGCAAAATATGTTCAATATTAATTCGAAAATTTAAAAATCACTGGACGCGATCAAAGAAACTGACACTGACAGCACATAACAGTAAGATTCTCGATTCGTTCTAGGACGACAGACAGAGCGATTTTCAAAAATTTTATACTTTGAAATGTCCTTTTTATCCACAATATTTAAAAAAAAACACATAAATCACATTCTAAATGAAAGTATTATTAGGAGGTTATTTTTGAATATAATTTAAAAACAAATCGAACATAAAATTATTTAAATCTTTTTAGATGATGTTGCATAAAACGTATTTAAATTCAAATATCGTAAAATTGTCAAGAAGAACAAAGTTTTATAAATGAATGTTACCATGACGTAAACATTTGAGAGCTGCTCAACTAATCAAGCCCTCAAATCACTTGAGTGATGTTTCTGTATTTCAGTTAAATTTGAGTGATGCTTAAATATAGGGGACCTTTAATAAAGTGACAGATTTAAGTTGCGTTTCAGTATTCGGGCATAAATCAGTTATTTTCACATCTAAACATCAATAATTTGAACCAAGATACCACTTGCTCTGCGATATTTTGCTCTATGATATTTTATTCTTTTCACATGAGTTTGCCTCCAGGAAATTCTGGTTAGAGTATTTGATTTTAGGTGTTTCATTTAAATTGTAAATATCATACAATATGGAACTGTGTGTGGTCGACTAAAAATAGGCGACAGAGGAAAAATGAAACAGGAGACGGGCAGCAGCATCTTCCTAACAACAAGTCAAAATAATATACAACTGCACTGGCCAACCCTCTTGCCAAGCGGGGCAACTAGGGCATAATCCCCCTATGAGGCAATCTACGAGGGGGTACTATATTCAGCAGTGGACTTAAGGCTGTAATGGATGGAATGGATCGATGTTTCACCTTTTCATGCAACTTTGTCACATTATAACATGATTAACTGTGTTATCCGATATTAAAAACTTTAAAAGCATTGTTTAGGTTAGGATTTGGTGCAACTAAATTAATATTTATTTATTTTTATGTAATAAGTTACTAACAAATAAATAATTACTATACTCTACTTAAAATTAGTAAGGTGAATACCATTGACGCGGTGATTGAGTAAGCGCGGTAAACGTTTGAAATCCGTACAGAACAAGTGTTTGTATAGCCCTCAAATAATTAGCTATGAGCATTATAATGTATACGGCAGTTATGGAAACGTCTATTTACTTTATAACGAATAGATAGTTATACATAACGCTCGTAACTGTCTATTTCTTATAACGATCCGCAACGCACAGAGTACCTTTGAACCGCAACGCAGCAACGTGATAGTTATACATAACGCTCATAACTGTCTATTTCTTATAACGATCCGCAACGCACAGAGTACCTTTGAACCGCAACGCAGCAACGTGATAGTTATACATAACGCTCATAACTGTCTATTTCTTATAACGATCCGCAACGCACAGAGTACCTTTGAACCGCAACGCAGCAACGTGATAGTTATACATAACGCTCGTAACTGTCTATTTCTTATAACGATCCGCAACGCACAGTGTACCTTTGAACCGCAACGCAGCAACGTGATAGTTATACATAACGCTCATAACTGTCTATTTCTTATAACGATCCGCAACGCACAGAGTACATTTGAACCGCAACGCAGCAACGTGATAGTTATACATAACGCTCATAACTGTCTATTTCTTATAACGATTCGCAACGCACAGAGTACCTTTGAACCGCAACGCTGCAACGTGATAGTTATACATAACGCTCATAACTGTCTATTTCTTATAACGATCCGCAACGCACAGAGTACCTTTGAACCGCAACGCAGCAACGTGATAGTTATACATAACGCTCATAACTGTCTATTTCTTATAACGATCCGCAACGCACGGAGTACCTTTGAACCGCAACGCAGCAACGTGATAGTTATACATAACGCTCATAACTGTCTATTTCTTATAACGATCCGCAACGCACAGAGTGCCTTTGAACCGCAACGCAGCAACGTGATAGTTATACATAACGCTCGTAACTGTCTATTTCTTATAACGATCCGCAACGCACAGAGTACCTTTGAACCGCAACGCAGCAACGTGATAGTTATACATAACGCTCATAACTGTATATTTCTTATAACGATCCGCAACGCACAGAGTACCTTTGAACCGCAACGCAGCAACGTGATAGTTATACATAACGCTCATAACTGTCTATTTCTTATAACGATCCGCAACGCACAGAGTACCTTTGAACCGCAACGCTGCAACGTTGCGTTGGCTTGGAATCGTGATTCGTGATAATATTAAAACATCACGTATTCGCTGCCGTACAAAAACAATTATGCCGTATACGATAATAACGAAACTGCAGCGGGGCTCATATTGAAATGTGTAGGTGAGCGAAGCGAAATTCGAGAAATAAGTTTATTTCTTTGTTTTTCATATAGATACTTGTTTAACTATTTCAAATTGTCAATGTTTATTATAATATTCTACACAGTAAATACGGGTTTTTCCATATATTGAAAAATAACACTTGTGCCCCAAAATGTAAGGATTAAACTGCATTAATAGCTTTGACCTTGTTAAGACGAAATATTGTTATTGACCTTCTGTCTTTCAACTTTTGAACTTGAGTTTTCATATTAGGTAATTAGATCTCTGAGGAACAAGTGCAATAATAAATTTTGGGCGTAATATTATTATTTAAAAACTTTGCTTTATTTGCTAATTCCAAGTATATTTCGAAGCATAAAGCACGCATAGTGCTACACTAAAAACGAACAAAAAGCTTTGTAAATATTTACTTGATTTCGTGATTGTAAATATAGATATAGCTTCGCTTTAGGTTGTAATATAACAAAGAAACAATATCGCGACAAAACACTGTGTTTTGTTGGAGTTTTTCGAAAAAAACTGATGATTTAATAAAAAAGGGCGTTGTAATATTTGTAAAAACGAATTTAGTTTTCAGACGACTTCAGGTTATCTGAAGTTATATTTACGGCAGCGATATATAGAAGCGTACACACAAGTTTCGTTAGAACAGCAAACGATTGCTAGATCTTCAAGACCTGTGAACACTTTGGGTGTCCTTGCGTCAGCACTAACTTAAAAGACAACTTTTTGAGCCAGCCTTCGATATCAAATCTAACCTCCGTGATGCGATCAGCTGTACTCTCAACACAAATAAGGAAAAATGGATGCCTTAATTCCTATGAAGTTGTCAAAAGATCAAAAGTACGAAGGAAAATTCATTTCAGCAACTAAATTATTATTTACTTAGTGAAACGAAAATAATTTTGATGACAACTGTTCTATGACGGTATATTGTTAAGTTGCGGTTACATGGAAAATAGATAGTTATGAATATAGACAGTTATGATAACGTTATCCGTTGTACCATAGCCAAAACGTTACGTTATTTAGAAAAGACATAACGACACACCTTTACAAATAATTGTTTCGGATGTGATATGTAATCTTGTGCAATTTTTGTATGTATGTCGCAGTCAAAACTCATAACCGTTCAAAACCACTTTTGAATGCGAATGTTCGGGCAAAAGTAGTTTGGACTAATACCACTTTTAATTGATTTTCGCAGTCAAAAGTAGTTTTGACTAAGGACGTTAGTCAAAAGCAATTTTGCCTCATTTAAAGTCTTTAACGAAGAAAATATTTCATAAATTTTATGTGTTTTTTATTATAATAAAATGAAAGAGAGAGACAGCCAGCACCTCTCATTCCTGAGCATGTATCATGCTTGCCTTAAAACCTCGGTCTGCCCTTTATACGTATTGCAGACTTTATATATCTTCAAAATGTTTTATTTTTATTTCTGAGGTATGCAGATTTCCTTACAATTTTTTTTTAATAGTGTTATGTATGCACTTCAATAGTGTAAGTAAGAATTCAATTCTGTTAGTTTACGAAAGTTAAGGCGAGTGCATTTCGCTTTAGCTATCTTAGTATATAATTAAATATAATATTATACATTATTTCAGTAACTTGCTAAATTGTAGTACGTGGTAGAGCCATGCTGCAGCAGTTTTAGTAGTATAGTTGTAGCACGAGTGGGTCGGCTACGATGGCTATCCAAATACAGAACCAAAGTAAGAAACCCATCCAACTACAGAAAGGTGTAAGACAGAGTGACTTTATATCAGTCCTGAAACTCTTCACCGTTGCATTGTAATAAGTTTTCAAGTTACTGGACTGGAAAGAATACGGTATTAATATTAATGGCGAATACGTACGCTCACCTTCGATTTGACGACGATAATCCTTACGGCAGAATCACTGGAGGACCTAAGCACTATGCTCAATAACCTCAATAGTGCCTCCCAATGGATAGGTCTTAAGATGAACATGGACAAAAGAAAAATCAAGTGTAACGTCTATGCCACATAAATGCCGGTAATTTTTGGGAATACCTAGGACAAATAGTCCACGGATTCAATTCGGCTGGGCAACGTTCGGGAAATTACGACACATTTCTCGTCAGGTATACCTCAAAACTTGAAAATAAGATTGTACAATGAGTGCATGTTGCTTGTGATGACTTACGGATCTGAGACATTGTCCTGCACTGCTGGCCATGTGAGGAAGTTCAGGGTTGCTCAGCAAGCTATAGATAGGGCTTTGTTCGGGGATTATCTGCGTGATAAACTTAGAAATGAGGATATCCGCAGTAGAACCAGAGTGACCCAACGGATTAATAAACTGAAGTGGCAATGAGCTGGCTATATAGCTCGATGAATCGACAACCGATGGGGAAAAAGGTTCTCGATTGTCAGCTTCGTACCGTTAGGTGAAGCGTAGGGCGAACCCCCACTAGACGGAGTGACGACATGGTAAGATATGCAGTAAGTCAATGGATGTAGGTGGCTCAGGACCGTGCATTGTGACATTCCTTGGGAGAGGCCTATGTTCAGCAGTGGACTCGTGAAAGGATGTTATGATGATAATGATTAAAAATTATAAACCAATACATAACTGAAATAAATATTTTTATATTTTAGTTTTTTAATGTGTAGTGCCACGGTGCAGATATATTATAGTTGCAGCGCGAATGGGTCGGCTCAACCGGGGAAATACCACGCTCTTACATAATACCAGTATCATGCAATATCTTAAAACTGCCGTGTTTCGCATAATGAGTGCAGAGAACCGGTGATCTTTTTACTGGTAACGAGGCATTCTTAGTCCTCAGGAGTGACAATTTATCTACATTTTGTACTTAGTCGAATGAAGATGTAGATTTCTATGGGCCGCAGTATCCAGTTACAAAAGATTACTCTACACCTACTCTACATGAGGTGGACTGAGTGTTCGTTTGTCACCCTTGTTCTATAAAAAAAAATAGTAAGTTTTACCTCAACCACGCGACTCATTTTTTTAATAAACGGTTAAAAATCTGAAATCTGATAAATGAACCGTTCTTTTACAACATTTAAGTTTGGCACTAAAACAAGCGCGAAGCTTTACTTAAAGTTCAGAGCTATT